CTGAATATCTCCTGTAATATACTTTATTTCGATTCCATATTTTTGTCAGAGCTATAGTTCTCATAACCGAACATAATTACAAAATTTCAACTAGTTTCATAAAGAATAACGAAAGATATAATTGACTGAATACATCATAATGGATTTCTATTCGGACAACCCTTTCTGAGCGCTGATTGGCTAAAATACGAACACGAGATCACCTGGTTAATTAATTGTTTTGCTCGAATTTAAAATTTGTTTATAAATTAGAAAAATATAATGGCTGTTTCAAGAAATCTTGGTAGCTTTTCGAGATTTTAATGCCGAATTTATACACTTGGTGAATTTTTTGCGCAATGTACGGCATCAAATTAAGCCTTGCTGCGAGGATTATTTTTCACTGAATTACATACAAATTCAGCGCCGTATATGCAAATGAGTTAGGAAGACAGTTCTTTAGCATTGTTGGGTCTGTTTCAAGACCATGTGTTTCGTAATTTTGGCCGAGGTTGAAAAATGTCTGAATCGAATTTTGACTTTATTCAAAATTTTCATTCATCATCGCCAACATTGTTGAACTAACAACTGGTTTGTAGACTGGTTTTACAGCATCGAGAGATTACGAGGTCATGAACTTTAATCACAAGATTTGTGCAATGTGTGACTGTCGCAATTTCAATGTAATTGTATATCCAGGAATTTATGGATGTATTCTACTCAAACTGAAACTAAACAGACGATTTATCTCGAAGGATTTTGACTGCGCTCTCAAACTACTGTTCATTGTTTTGATCAAATCAAGCACAGTGTTTTAAACATTATAGCGATGTAAATAAACTACACGACAAAATGTAGTTCCTGAATGAAGTAAAGCCAAGGTAAGACGAAATGAAATATATTCAAGTGAGTTTACATAAGCATAATCGAAACACAGCGCCGATTCAAAGTCGGCTGTAAACACAAGGAATTTCTGAAGAAACCAGAAAAGAAATAGTCAATAGAAGTTTCGCGAGAGTTAGATGTCATTTCGTGGGCATTTTAATTTTTAATGAAGAAAGTAATTCACAGAATAGATGTCTATCATGTCTTTTTATGCTTGCTTTAAACTCGTATTTGTTGAATGCAAAACGGCTATACACAATGCTGTCTCGGTCAATAATATAAGAATTTATAAGCGTTTCGTCTTCAGCTCAAAACGACATCTAACATCTTTTCTCTTATGTATATTTCTCAAGATATTGATTCAACAGTGATCTAAACTGAAAATGGCGTCATACGACACTGGTTGGGAAGATGAACTATTTCAACATCCCGTTGGCCACACGTTGCATTGTGGTATATGTCTGAATGTTTTGAAGGATCCAGTTTCGTGTCGACATAATGAGCATTTGTTCTGTCGAGGTTGTATCACCATACATCTCATGAACTTTCAAACATGTCCATCGTGTATGGAACCACTCACTGTCGAATCACTGCGCCAAGCACCTCGGACCGCAACGAACTTACTTTCCGAATTAAAGATCCGCTGTCAATTCTTCGATCGTGGTTGCGGACAGTTTGTTGAATTAGGAAATCTCGAAAGGCATGTCACTGACTGTGGGTTCGCCCCAGCAGTCTGCTCTAACGAAGGATGCCAACTTGAGGTGAATAAACAAGATTTACTACACCATGAAACATCTGTGTGTGAACTACGCAGAGTCAAGTGCCACAATTGCAACGAAATCAGACAAGAGATGGATACAGTGAAAGTTAATTTGGCAGCAATGAATGAAAAGTTGAATGAAAAGTTGAAAGGAGTTGGAGAACAGTTGGACAGAAATCAGGAAAACATCAAAACAGAAGTGGTCACAAAAGTTGAACAGGTTCAAGAACAACTCAACAAGCAGGAAGAAAGCAATCGTCAGCTTAAAGCGGTCAATATAGAAATGAAGAGAAGTTTAAATGAAATTATGAAACATCTGGAGAGAATGACACAACAAACATCGCATGAAGTTCAGGCTGAAGAAATGAAGAAAGATATTGCAGATGGTGGAATGGACAGAGAGTCGAAGATCCTTATCGCTGGAGGCTTTGATGGGAGAGAAATTCTAAATTTAGTGGAAATGTTCAGTCTTCCAAATGCGACATGGACACCACTAAAGCCAATGAAAGAAGGTCGTCAGGGAGCATCTTCAGTTGTTCACAACAATCAATTTTTTGTCATGGGAGGTCATGGTAACAGTGGAGAAATCAAGTCAATTGAAAAACTATCACTGAATGCTGTTCAAGTTGATCAGTTCATCACTTGGGAAAACGTTCTCGCTAAGTTACCTGCACCATTGCATGGACACTGCAGTGTAGTTTATAATGGACGGTTGATAGTGATTGGAGGTTATGATGTTAGTAAACTTGCACATTCTGATAGTATTACTGAGATTTCCCTCGTCCCACCTTATACCAGTAAACTGTTGGCTACCATGCCACAGGCAAGATATCTCCACGGTGTTGCAATGTTTGGTGACAAGATACTGATTCTTGGAGGTAAGCTCAATGGTTCTTCCAGTACAAATCTTGCAAGTGTTTTGTTGTATGATATTACTAAGAATAAATGTAAGGAGTTAGCAGCCCTCCCCTACCCCGTGTCTGAAATGGCCACAGTCAAGTGGAGTGATGACAGTGTGATCATAGCGGGTGGTGTTGACAGTAACAGGCAACCATTAAACAAAGTTTTATTATACAACATCAAGACCCAGAAGAGTCCTATGTTACCAGACATGAAGTATAAGAGGAAAGGATGTGTGGCTGCAGTTGTCAGAGACACTGTGATTGTCATGGGAGGCATGGGTGAAAAAAGAAAGTGGTTAAAGTCTGTAGAATGTTTTCGATTTGATCGCGATAGCTGGCAAGAACTTCCTGAAATGCGGAAAGCGAGATACTTGGCTACTGCAGTTGTATGTTAATTATGTATATTGTATATATTAGCAACCTAATTAACTTTTTGCAGTATTTTATACACTTTTGTACTTGGGATATGATAATAGTTCATGAATAAAATTTTGTTCCAATTTGACCAAGTTAAAAGAAAAATTAATTTGTCAAAATTGTTGAATTTATGGTTGAATAAAGTAGGATGCATTAGAGCACATTGTGGCTTAATGGGTTAATATTAAACCAATGAGCTGCAATGTGCCCAAATGTACCCTGTTTTATCATTTTACTCTAACGCTAGATGACTTTACTCATAAAGGGAGAGTCTTGCACATTTATGGGTTAAAGACATAATAAGCACATAGAGTGGTCAATTAATGCGCAATATTCAATAATATTTTTCCCTTGAAAAGTAAACTTGTCTAGCGCGTTAGACAGAATATAGAACAAAGTAAGAACATTGGGCGTATTATACAGCTTACATGTAGTGGGTGGTTTAACCAAATGGGTCCTTTGCAGTTTTACTCGCCAAGGGGATTATGGGAATGTCTTTTAATGGGGTTAAGCCCATTTTCCACTGTGGCGAAATACTTCGCATGAAACGACAAGTAAAAAAAGTAGGGACTGATCCAACTTTTTCGCAGCAAATTTTGTTGCTGACCAATAACATTGGCGGAAGTTCATTCTGAGAAGAAATGGAATATGTCTTTAGAGTGAAAAACCTAACTTTGATCGACTTTTTCACTGCCAAAGATATGACATCATTAGATGAATTACAAATTGCTTTGCCTTTATTTTTCCCTGCTTAAATATATCAAACGACATTATAAACGTCAACAACAAGTTGATCAAGATGAGATTTTTTATTATAAAGATATATTACATTTCTTCTAAGAATCTCACAAATCTCACTCATATCAAAATTCATATTTGGTGTAGGTGCCACTTTAAGTATTGTTATAATAAGCAAGTCTTCATCCTCGACACTTACGTACGTTGTTCTTCATTCCATGATCCAAAGTTGTTTTTGCGCTGTCCACAGAATGCTATAAAAAAAAAACAACAGATAATTTATAGTGTATTCAAAACTTGGATGTGAAAACATGACAATGTTCAAACCCTAATAAATTGCGAACCCAGGAAAGTATAATTTCCTCAGTTGTTTCAGCAATGAGAGAGATTGGGTGGGGATTTAGGCGACTGTACATTTTGTTGCAATTGCTTCGGTTATTAAAGTATTTTAAGTTCTGGAAACAGTAGCCTACTAGCCTGTGCAAATGCCCCCAGTCCCCTCCTGGACTGCTAGGGGGAACAGTTTAGAACTGATAGAGGTATCCAGTATAAATAAAGTTAGTTTAGTTTAGGTTTCCTCCTGTAGTAACACTGGATCAATAAGAGATGATCCTTACTGGACCTCCAGGGAAAAAAGTTTACAACTGATAGAGCTATCCAGTATAAATAAAGTTAGTTTAGCTTAGGTTTCCTCCTGTAGTAACACTGGATCAATAAGAGATGGTCCTTACTGGACCCTTAGGGAGAACAATTTAGAACTGATAGAGCTATCCAGTATAAATAAAGTTAGTTTAGTTTAGGTTTCCTCCCGTAGCAACACTGGATCAATAAGAGATGATCCTTACTGGACCCCTAGGGAGAACAGTTTAGAACTGATAGAGCTATCCAGTATAAATGAAGCCTGGTTTAGTTTAGGTTTCCTGCTGTTACTGTAATACTGGATCAATAAGAGATGATCCTTACTGGACCTCTATAGGGAGAACGGTTTAGAAGTGATAAGAGCTATCCAGTATAATTACAGTAAAGTTACTTTAGTTCAGGCTTCCTTCTGTAGTGATACTGAATCGACGAAGGATGTCTCTTACTGGACCTCCGTTACGCGTTTAAATGTTAATATATTACTGAGTATCCATTGCTCTGGGATCGACGTACTGCTTAAAATGTATATATATTATACAGGCATCAAATGTGATGCCTGTGTAATCAGCCTCGTTTTCGTGTTTAAGCTTATTTCCACATTTAATAGTCAAAATCCAAAATTCTTTTTTATGCATGTGTTGACGAAGGATGTTCTGCTTCTCTGACCATAGCCCGTGAGAAACAAACTTGAAATCTATTCCATTTAATTAAGGTGGTCCTAAGTGTAGCCGGTGAGGTAATTACGCATGGAAAGGTCTATTCCACCTTGATTTTGCTGTCTTGTTTAAATATCTTGAATCTTGAGTTTACATGATGTTATTAATATTCGAAGTGTTTCATCTTGTATTTGCGAAATTCTCTGCTGGAAGAGCTGGATTTCAGCAAATAACTTTAAAACCAAACATAATATAAGTAAAAAAATTATTAGCTAATTACTTATATTATGTTTGGCTTTAAAGTTATTTGCTGGGCTCTGCTCTTTATCTTTAAACTAAGATTTACGCCTGGTGTATCAATTGCCACAATTTTATTTGTCAACTTATTCCGAAATACTTGGACTTGGTGAATTTTTCCCGCATGTTAGCCAACAACACTGAATTACACAAATTCACCATAGTAGGTTAAGTAGGCTAAGTGGGTTTAATGGGAAGGCTATACAGTTCATTAGCATTGTTGGATCGGTTTCAAGACCATGTGTGTGGTAAACATTCTGCTATATGACAAAATTAATAGTATATTGTAGTCTGATTCTTATAAGAACCCACTATGCATCTACAACATTGGTATTCACTTTTATAATAAGAACAATTTCTCTTCTTTTTCTCTACATTTTTCTATATATAACATTCCACTGAAGAAGCCGTAATAGGCGAAACGTTTGGAAAATATACTTTGTGTATTTTTATGTCTGAAGAAATCTTATAAGCCAAGTTCACATATATATATATATATATATATATATATATATATATATATATATATATATATATATATATATATATATATATATATATATATATATATATATATATATATATATATATATATATATATATATATATATATATATATATATATTCTAAATAAATAATGTAAATAATTTATTATTGTAAATAATTTATTACATAATATAATACAAACTAGCATAACTAGAGACCTAAATAAAAAGTCTACGAAGATTTCTAGTAGGTCTCTAGCCCGCACTCTACAATTATTGTAAATATACTATACACATAAATTTATTGTACATGGGGAAAATTTTTAAAATATATAAATAAATGTGTGTGGTAACGTTGACTTTATTCAAAATTTTCATTCATCATCGCCAACATTGTTGAACCAACAACTGGCTTATTGCTGCCGAGCGTAGCGAGGCAGCTCCCTATTCTTGACGTTACATGACGTTTTTGCTTTTTCGTGCCCAGTCCCCGGCCGAGTTATATTGGGGAAACATACTCAATCCATGTCAGTCCGTCGGATGTGAGATTTTGCTTTTTCGTGCCCAGTCCCCGGCCGAGTTATATTGGGAAACATACTCAATCCATGTCAGTCCGTCGTGGTCGGATGTGAAGATTTTTCGCAACTAATTGTCGTCAGCGCTCGAGCATTCGACGACTCTTTGTTTTCACTATTCGATTTTGATTTGTATTGCGCTCGCATGATTCTTCTCAGGATTACAGTTTAGTACGAGCTTATTTACATGCAGTATGTTGATTTTAACGATGCAAAGGATCGACAATATTTTCAATAATTCAGGTAATTCGATTTCAGTTTAATACCTTGTTATTTACATGCAGTATGTTGGATTTTCACGATGCAAACGATCGACAATATTTTGAATATTTCCGGTAAAGATAGCTTTATTTCTTTCTTTCTGAATTCTGGTGATATACATGAAGACATTTATATTTAGATTTGCTGTTTAGTGTTCGATATAGAGGCATTGAAACAAATATGATTTCATGAATTTGCAGTTCTAATAAGCCCACTGATTGTCTTTATATTCATACAAGGAGTCAAGATGTACTTTTAGTTTATCTATTTGTGTGGCGAATGGCGATGTGCCAAGGACGCATTTATATTTAGATTTGCTGTTTAGTGTTCGATATAGAGGCATTGAAACCAATATGATTTCATCAATTTGCAGTTCTAATAAGCCCACTGATTGTCTTATATTATACAAGGACTT